ATTTTACTATTGTTAGAATCACAAGAACCTACTCTACAACTTTACTTATAAGCTCAAAAAATATTTAATTAATAAAATTTTTATAATTAAGATTACAAAAAAAATATACCATCAAGTATATATATAAATTTAAAATGTTACACCCTACCCTTAAAAACAAGTTTTTTTTATAAAAATTTTAATTGAATTTCAATAAAGTTAAAAACATAACCTTATTTTTTAATATTTTAATTTATAACTAACCTAGTTTTTAATCTTTGTGAAATTTACACAACTTCAATATTCTTCTTTTATAACCTTATTGATATTTTGACTATCTTGCAAGTTTTCTTATATTACCAATATAATTAACCTTACATAATATAACTTTATATTTAGATTAATTAATGATCAAGTTGGTAAACTTCCTACCTAAAGGTTTTTACTCATACAAATCACCTATTCAGGTTTTCTTTTTTAAATCAAAATGTTTACATGTAATACTATCAAATATTATATTATCTCTTTACCAAAATTTTCAAACAAGATTCTTATTTAAATATATACTTTTCAAATTTATTCATATAACATTGTAATTTCAAACGTAATATTAACACCACGAAATTAAAAAACATATAAATCGAAATTATTTGAATTTTGTATTTTAAAATTGAAAATTCTTAAAACTCTTTAGTAAATATTCATTTTATTTGCATTGATTAGTCTGAGCATAAAAGTTATTTGCATTTAAATTTATAAGTAGCATGAATAGCGTAAAACAACTACGATGATTATAATGAGATTCGAATTGTGAAAAATATGCATATTGTAGCGAATATAATATGAATTAAATGATCAATCACTTATCAACCGACCATACTCAAGAATCAATGAACTCTCATTAATTATTTCTCATAATTTCTATGTCCTGATATAGCTCCCGAGCCCGTGCGGCATAATCAACTGGTGCTATACCTGCTACGGTATACCTAATTCTAGTTTGTTCCTAAAGTACGAAATATATTAATGTAGAACAATCATATTAATGCAGTATTGGACAATATTACTTACATTATAAATTTCGGTCTTAGCACGGCATCGAAACACAAAGGATTTTAAGCACGCTTGATCAAAGCATTCTTCGTAAAGGTCCACGTTTTCTCCCTGTTACACCAAAAATTAATTTGTAAACTTTGTGAAGAAAACAAAGGCAAAAAAATAATTACACATAGTTTAATCAGCTCCTTAGCCTCGCGTCCCATGATAACAATTGCACTTTCATTAAAGCATTGAAGCCAGGCATAATCTGAAAAGTCCGCGACACTAATCGTCATTATATACCTAAATTATATAATTTATGCTTCAAAAAAAGGTCATCTAATAAAATTCGAAAAAGTAATACTTAATTACCAACCTATGATCAGGTTCCGGATAGTTTCGTGAACATTTTTCACATCGCCATTCATCTCCATCTTCAAGAACTTTTTTCTTGCATGTAGGACAAGCAGGATAGGAAACACTTTCTTTTTTGATAAATAGAATAGTAGCTTTTGTCGAAAAATAGTCAGTCCGTTCGTTCTGACCAAGCTTCTCGTTCTTAACTTGTGCCAATGTTTTTTTTGGTTCATTTTTATCTATTGCTACAGAACCTGACGAGGATAAGGAGGCGAAAGGTCTACCTTCATCTCGTGAAGTATACCAGTCACGTAATTCTTTCGCTTCCTTGATATCTACATCGACAAGGAACGAAGTACCATTAAATACCGAAAGGTTTCGACCTGCAAAGTCTCCGACACGCACATTCTTGCAGGCGATGACTGTGTTTAATATAGAAGGTCCATACTTTTCTGCGGCTTGGCCCCACAACGTCAATATGATTTGATATTCACTTTGATCGGCAATGGTAATGTCACGCTTATTGATATTTTTTTGTGTGGTTCTGGTCGTTATTTGTTGAATATCATCAACATTAATGACCATACCTACAACATCAACGGTACTATCTTTTTCATATTGTGATATATTCTCAATTCGAACGAAGTCAAATTTTATAAGGTCAGTTGGATTCTTATTGGCAACCTCTTCAATTATAGATCCGCTCTCGAGATATATCTCATAATCGTTCTTAACCGCCGAGAAATTTTTTTTAGCCACATTAACCTTTGCTTTTGAAATCAGATAAGTCTATTAATAGATAATTCGAAAACATAGGATATTATTAGTTTTTATTTATTTGTATTTATCATGATATAATTCGGAGTCATATATACTTTTCCTTCCTCCAATTTATCGTAAAAAGCGTCTACTTGTTGTCCAAAAGCTGTTGCTCTTATTTCTCCCTAAATAACAAATGAATAGATTGAGTCATAAAAATCAATTTGGCAGTTAAATCATTTCACCTATAACTTACACTGTCATCCAATAAAGTTACGTTGAACAATTTTCCAGATCCATTTTGATTTTGCCAATGTTTTATGTCTGATTTCGCACCAACGACCACCTTGATCTTCCACCTGCAAAGAACAATGTGAGATTCAAATTTACAAAAGCTCATTAAATATATGAACTCGACGCACTTGTTGTGATACGGGCTAAGTAAATTGATAGGAAAGATCCCTTCATCAGCAAGGCCTGTTGAAGATCGTCGTATATTGTTGGAACTAAAATGATATTCTGTAAGTAACTTTCTCAATTTAACATATTCTATTAAATATTATAAAGCTGACCTTGATATCATAACATTTCCACCATTAAAAGTAGGTCCGTTAAAAGTAGGTGTAGATGGTCTCATTTGTTGCTGAACGCCAGGTACAGATCTCGGAAACGTTGGGGAAGGCTGTTGAGAAATTTGGGAATTTGGTGGTGCCAAAGGTTGATGATGTGGTGGCGTTAAAGATTGAGGATTTGGATTTGCCAAAGGTCTAGAACGTTCGGTGACTGTGTCTTGGCCAGGAAATGGATTACCGATGATTGGTTGTAATTCACTACTTGCTACTTCGTAGTTACTGACAACTATTACTCTAAACATAAGAATCAAAGATTAACAAGTAAAAGATAATTTGACAACCTTTAGGAATAAACGAAAATATTACTTTTGAGGTTGTTGCCCTTTAGTGCTTTGACTAATATTACAACTGTAATGAGTCAACCTAAGGAGCTGACCTCTTTCTAACCGGCCACCGCTCACGCTTCTTAAAAGATTAACTGGTATAATTCCTGTGTTATCATAAAAATCATAAGTGTTTGACTCATGAATACAAAAACTACTGCTTGATTGAATACCTGACACAAGCTCTTGTCCGTCAGAAAAGGCTACTCTATATACGAAACAGAGAAATATAGTCACATTAAATTATTAAATATACAGAACATGTAAGCCAAATTGGCATCATATTAAGAACAAAGACGCGTCGTTATCCGACTAAACAACGAGATAACACTTGTTTCAAGTAAAACGAACGTACCTAACTCTCGATTGAAGTGATTCATTTGGATTATTTTGGTTTGCGGAAAATCTCACTACCTGAAGTACTGGATTCTCAGGTCTTGGCCCGTCCTCACTGACGGCCTCAAACATTTCTTTAATAACTCCAGCACTAAGAAGTTCTGACATAGCTAGATCACAAAAGTTTAGTAAAAAGAAATTGAGTCGTGATTCTTGATTTTCGCGTTATTAAATAGTCTTAGAATCTCACGTGAAACCTCAAACTGTTATACAACGGGTTATCATTGCTATTGCTTGTGATCTAAATGCCACGTTATCCGGGACGAAGCGGAAGACACAATTTGATTTTGATATATTTTTTAATACAAAACCTTTCCGCCTGTCATGCCGCATGTCTATATTTGCGTCGTGCGACAAAAACAATTTACGTGTAGTGTTGTTATGCCCTCAAAATTTTTTGGGGATAGTCAAGTGATTTTCTATGTGCATTTTCTGTAATAGTTTGATTCAAGTTATGTTGATATTTTTTTTTTATGCTGCCATAGTAAAGTTATCTAATTCTTGTAATTTGTCATTATTATTTGTGTTCTTTTTTGGTTTTCTTTGTTATGTTTTCATAAATTCACAGCTTAGACCTTTTTTATATTATAAAATAACAGTGATTTAAATTTTTTTTTAACAATTTGAATTAGTAAGAGTGGTGAAGTAAACTGGTTGTCAACTTCCAAGTGGCAGGTCTAGAGTTCAAATATCACAGATAAAAAATTTTAAAAATTATATCTGTGTTATATGAATTAATGTATTTATAATCTTTAATTATATTATCTTAAATGAAAGTTTAGAGTATTTATATAAAATATAATAATATTTTTTTTTTTTGATATTAAAATAATCTCTTTGGTCTTTTGACTTTTATTAATCACTTATCAGTATTGTGGTTCAATGAACCACTACAGGAGAGAGTACAATTGGTTACACATGTAACTTTTCTATATTACCTATTTAAGAAATTCATCCAAAGGTTTCTTACCAATTGCTGTATCTAATACTTCTGCTTAGGTGTTTCACTTTAAACCTTCTGAATCTGTAATCTGTGCTAACTCACTGGGTTATATTCAGATGCCCAGATCATCATCTCAATCTTAGGACTAATTTATCCTTAAGGTAAACTCTTCAGAGTCTTCTGTACCTATTTTTACAGTTGATCTAAATATCACTATGATAGAACCAACACTTGTGATTAGGGTTAATCATTAAATTGTTATGCTCTTGTAGAGTTTACTTAGACCCTAGCATCTACTTTACAGCATAACCCTAATACTTTAGTATACCTCTACTTTTTTACTTGTCTTTTTACCAAATTTTTAATCCAGATAACCTGTGTAGAATTATAACCAGTCTATCAGTATATCAGATTAGCTCAATATTCTTTTTCTTTAGTTCATTCTAATAACCTGATTGGTGATACCTTCAAGATTTCCAACCTGAAGATTCTTGCCTGTCTGGTTACTATGACCAAATACTATAATCTTGGTATCTGTTTTCCCAAGCTAGTCTTTACAGTAAAACTATTAAAAATCCAACTATCTATCTACTCAGGTCTTCTTAAATAAACTTCTTGTTACCTAATTTCAACAGATTTACATAGTCACAAGAACTTATTTAGTGTTTGTACTACCCAATTTGTTGGTTTGTATTCTTTTATATAATACCATACTTACACAGATGTCCTATGATCTGTCAATCATACTAGTGTGATTGCTATTACAGGTATTCTAATCTAATCATTAGTAACAGTTACTATAATATGAATATTAAATAGGTGATTATTCAAATTTTTGTTATCAATAAAATTTAAACACCCAATCTACCACTTAGGAGATTGACAACCTGACCACTTCACTAGATCATCACATCTTTATAAAATATAATATTATATATATATAAAGAAATA